TTTTCACTGAGCCCAGACCACCCCTACCCCAGAAACCCAGGAACACTCACCTACACCCACTGGCCAGGAAGGTGTCGAACTCAGCAGCCATCTTGCAGGACAGAGCTGGGTGACTGTGTTCTGCAGAGCAGTTGGTGACCACACTGTGGGACCCTGGAGAAGTGAGGAGGAGTCAGGGGACCCTGCCCGGCTCCCGCTTCACAACCCAGAACACGGAATACAGAGCAAGGCCGGGCTGCAGGGACTCTGGATTGGCCCACCCACTCCCATTTTACACATGGTGACACTGAGGCCTGGGGAGGGCAGCCCTGTCTGGGACCACAGAGCTACTGGACAGCAGGTTGGGCTGGGACTCAGGCATTCAGGGCCTTATCTAGCACCGCGCCTCCCCACACCCACGCCCACACTCACCTCCTTTCCAGAACGGCACCACAGGGACCCAACCATAACCACACACCTGGGCAGCATCTCACCCTCTTCTATCATGCACACAGGCACACACACACACACACACACATACACTTACACATATACATACACATGCACGCTTACACACATACACATACACACACATACATATACACACCCACAGTCACAGCCACACTCAGCCCCTCCACGATTACATAACACAACCCTAAACTCATTATCAGGACACAAACTCTATGTGAACAGACCCACACCCACACCCAGGGACACCGTGCCACTAGGGACATCACACTTTCATAGCCACAAAAACCTCCTGTGCCAGCCACCTCAGAGATGTTCCCACAACCCAGTCCAGATCCCCCAGATTGGACAGCGCCCTGCCAAGAGTTTCCAAATGCTGTCCCTATCGACCCTCAAACCTCACAAGGCAGGTGTCACCTGTTCCCTTCCCAGATGACAAAAAGGAGGCTGAGTGACAGACCAGGGTTGGCAAGTGCTAGGCTGAGATTCAAACCCACAGGCCTCGGACCTCTCCCTGCCACCTCCCAAGCAGCTAAAGCTGCTCAGCGCCCTATATAAACCAAACCCAGACTCTGAATGACAGGCAGAGGCAGCACGTGGACACCACAAAGACGAGCCAGGCACGGCCCAGCATGGGGAGAGCTTCTCAGCTGCCCAAGTGGGTCCTCTCACACCCAGTGAGCACCAAGGGCCTTTGAGGGCGTCCCTGGCCCTGGGACTGCCCTGACCAGGACTCAGGACAATTTTGGACCCCTTCCAAGTGTCCCACCTAATGTTTAAAGCCTCCAGACTCCCTCCAAGCTGTCTATCTGCCTCCAAGAGGTAGACAGTAGAGTTAATGTGGTTCCTCCGAGTAGGTGCATTAGTCAGTGGCCTGCTGTGATGTTAGCTGTTAATCGTACAGCTAGTGCTACTGGTTGAATAAAAAGGCAGATTGTTTCGATGATGATTAGCATAGGAATAAGTGGGATAGGTGTTCCTTCGGGTAAGAAATGGGCTAGAGATGCTTTTGTTTTAAATCGAAATTCTGTGAGTACAGTGGCTGCCCACAGGAGAATTGCTATGCCTAAATGTATTGATAGTTGAGTAGTTGGTGTAAATGCGTCGGGTGTAAGTCCGAGGAGGTTATTTAGGGCGATAAAGGTAATTAGGGCTAAGAGTATAAGGGCTGAGTTCGTCCTTTAATATCATGAACTGCTGTTATTTGTTTTAGTGGAAGTTGGATTAATCATTGTTGGAGCGAGGAAAGTCGGTTGTTGATTAGGTTATTAGAAGGCACAATCAATGTAGTAGGAAATAAAATGATATTGCTGGGGGATTCCTAAGATTGTTGGGATATTGAAAGAGGTGAATAGATTTTTGTTCATTTTAGTTCTCAAGTTTTATGTTTTTGGGTTTTAATTAACTTTGATGACAGGGTGGTGTGGAAGGTAAAATTCAGTATTTTTAATTGAATCATATAGAAGAGGGCTACAACAGTGGATAAGATCGCCACTGGTCATGTTGAAATATCTAGTTAGGGCATTCACTGTAGAGAGAGGTTCTCTCAATCTTTGACTTAAGAGGTTAATGCTAAGTAGCTTTACAGTGATGCAATGTATGGATATGAGGCTCAGACTTCAAAGTGTTTGAAATACAGGAGTTCTAGAATGATGGGTATAAAGCTATGATTTGATACGCAAATTTCTGAGCATTGCCCATAAAATAGGCCTGGTCTTACAGAGGCTAGGACAGCTTAATTTAAACGTCCGGGGATTGCATCTGTTTTAACGCCTAGTGATGGGACAGCTCATGAGTGTAAGACATCTTCTGATGAAATTAGCATACGGATATCTGCTTCTATTGGCGAGGTTGTTTGGTTATCTACTTCAAGAGGTCGAAATTCACCGGGTTCAAGAAAATACGTTGGCATAATATAAGAATCAAAAGCTAGGCCGGGCACGGTGGCTCACACCTATAATCCCAGCACTTTGGGAGGCCGAGGCGGGTGGATCATGAGGTCAAGAGATCGAGACCAGATAAGGATCCAAGATGGCCGATCGCTAACATCCCGGGATTGCAGCTCTCAGGGAAGGCGCGGAGAACTAGAGGACGCCTCACTTTCAGACAAAGTCTGGTCCCTCATGGAGCAGGAGATCCCCCAGTGGAGGAAACACACGGGTCGCCAGCGTGACTCTCGTGGCCGGTGCAGCGGTTCCGCCGGCACCTTGGCGCGGCAGCTCTCGGAGCAAAGTAAACAGGTTCGGAGGACCAGCCCGGGTCCCCAGCACGACACCAGAGCCCGGCAGCGGCTGTGACGGCACCTCGGCGCGGGAGTGCTCGGCGCAGAGTAAACAGGACTGGTTCCCCTTCTGACTGAGGTTTGGAGCCCCAGGAAGGCAGAGTCGCCTACTACGGACACAAGAAGGAAGCCAGACAGGAGAATCCTGGGCAGAAAAGCACCATCAGTTTTAAGGCCGCTGCTCTGGCCCTGGGAACTAACAACCTGGACGTCCACTCAAGAGACCTAATCTGAAAGTTGGTAATTTTAAAGAGACAGGAGGATAAATTTACAATGACGGGAAGAAACCAGCGTAAAAAAGCTGAGAATACTCAAAATCAGAACACCTCTCCCTCTAAAGTTGATCACAGTTCCACATCAACAAGGGAACAAGGCTTGATGGAGAACGAGTGCATCCCAATGACAGAATCACTCTTCAAGGAATGGATAATAAGAAACTTCGGTGAGTTAAAAGACCATGTTGTAGCCCAACGTAAAGAAACTAGGAACTTTGAAAAAAGGTTTGATGAAATCCTATTGAGAATAGACAACTTAGAGCGGAGTATGAGTGAATTAATGGAACTGAAGAATACAATACAGGAACTCCGAGAAGTATGCACAGGTTTAAACACTCGAATTGTTCAAGCAGAAGAAGGGATATCAGAGGTCAAAGTCCAACTTAATGAAATAAAACGTGAAGAAAAGATTAGAGAAAAAAGGATAAAAAGGAAAGACCAAAGTCTCCAAGAAATGTGGGACTATGTGAAAAGACCAAATTTACATTTGATAGGTGTACCTGAATGCGACAGAGAGAATGAATCCAAGATGGAAAATATCCTTCAGGATATTATTCAGGAAAATTTTCCTAAACTAGCAAAGCAGGTCAACATTCAACCCCAGGTAATACAGAGAACACCACAAAGATATTCCTCAAGAAGAGCAACCCCAAGGCACATAATCGTTAGATTCACCAGGGTTGAAACGAAGGAGAAAATACTAAGGGCAGCCAGAGAGAAAGGTCATGTTACCCACAAAGGCAAGCTTATCAGACTTACAGCAGATCTCTCAGCAGAAACTCTACAAGCCAGAAGAGAGTGGGGGCCAATATTCAACATTCTCAAAGAACAGAACCTTCAGCCCAGAATTTCATATCCAGCCAAACTAAGCTTCACAACTGAAGGAAAAATAAAATCTTTTATGAACAAGCAAGAACTCAGAGATTTTATTACCACCAGGCCTGCTTTACAAGAGCTTCTGAAAGAAGCATTACACACAGAAAGAAACAACCAGTATTAGCCTTTCTAAAAATACACCAAAAAGTAAAGAGCACCAACATAAAGAAGAATTTACACCAACGAATGGATAAAACAGCCAGTCAACATCAAATGGCAGTAACCCTAAATTTAAATTGACTAAATCCCCCAATCAAAAGACACAGCCAAAACCCAATGGCATTTTACATCCAGACCTGTTTCACATGCAAGGATACACAAAGACTCAAAACAAAGGGATGGAGAAAGATTTACCAACCAAATGGAGAGCAAAAATAAATAATAAATAAATAAAAAGCAGGAGTTGCAATTCTCGTACCGGAGAAAATAGATTTTAAAGCAACAAAGATATAGTGGTAAAAGGATCAATGCAACAACAAGAGCTAACGATCCTAATACCCAGATACGAGACTTAGATTCAATGAGACAGAAAATTAATAAGGATATCAAGGACTTGAACTCAGATCCGGAACAAGTAAACTTAATAAATATTCATAGAGCTCTCCACTTCAAATACACAAAATATACATTCTTGTCAATACCACATCACACCTACCCATAAGTTTAAATGAAACATAGATTGGCCATTATTAATACTCAATTTTTTTCAAAATATAGCAATATTTCCATTTACTCTCCCTCTTTCTCTTCCTCTTTCTTCCTCTCCTTTACTTATTTTTTTTTTCTTTCCTTCTCTCAAAAAAAAAAGAAATCAACTTGTAAACCTCTAGATCCAGGTCGGCAATGTCTCTCTCATTGCTTGATTTCCTTCCTTCCCTTCCCTCCCTCCCTCCCTCCCTCCCCGCTTCCTCCCTTCCTTCCTTCCTTCCTTCCTTCCTTCCTTCCTTCCTTCCTTCCTTCATCCCTTCCTTCCTCCCTACCGTCCTTCTTCCCTCCCTCCCCGCTTCCTCCCTTCCTTCCTCCCTTCCTTCCTTCCTTCCTTCCTTCAACCCTTCCTTCCTCCCTACCATCCTTCTTCCCTCCCTTCCTGCCTTCCTCCCCCCGCCAAAAAAAAAAAAAAAAAAAAAAAAAAAGAGATCGAGACCATCCTGGTCAACAAGGTGAAACCCCGTCTCTACTAAAAATACAAAAATTAGCTGGGCATGGTGGTGCGTGCCTATAGTCCCAGCTTCTCGGGAGACTGAGGCAGGAGAATTGCTTGAACCCAGGAGGCGAGGTTGCCGTGAGCCGTGCCAGTGCACTCCAGTCTGGGTAACAACAGCGAAACTCCGTCTCAAAACAAAACAAAACAAAAAGAATCAAAAGCTAAGTCTTCATAGTCTGAGTATTCGTAAGTTCAGTATCATTGGTGACCAGTTGATTTAAGGGTTTAGGGTTTATTAAACTCTTCTGTTATGTACAGGATTCGTAGGGATGGGAGGGCAATTTAATAAGAATAATGGCGGGTAGGATAGTTCAGATTATTTCCATTTCTTGAGCGTTTATGGTGCTGGTATGGGTTAGCTTTGTAGTAAGTATTAGGGAAATAACATATAGGACTGGAGAGCTAATTAGGAAAATAATTATGAGGATGTGATCATGGAAATCAATTAGTTCTTTATAATGGGGGACGTAGCGTTTTATAGACCTAGTTGGGCTGGGTGAGCCATTAAGATATATAGAGTTTGGTCTATAATTTAACTTTCAAAAAGTTATGTAATTATTTTACTAATATCTTATTGAAAAGTTATAGGGTCTATGGAATTGGCTTGAAACCAGTTTTTGGGGGTTCAAATCCTTCCTTTTGTTGCATTGAACTTAGCACAGAAAGTCAACACCAGAACAAAAGTATGCCAAATTGCAGGGTTTATTGCCGGCGACCACGGAGGACTCACATCTCTCCAACCCGTGGCAGAGAAAGAAGAATGACAAGACCTTTTTATACCCACAAAACCACCTTGGGAGTGGGGGTGAGGAGCGGAGATGGGAATGAAAGCTGTCAATCACCTCCTAGGCTGAGATGAGGGTGAGGGGGCTCCAGACATTCCAAGGGCCAGGGGACTTTTGTCATTCCGATTGCCACTTAAGTGGTTTACAGAGGTCAAGGTAAACATTAGTTTATACATTATTTGGGCAGGTGTGGGGTCCACAGATTTTTCAGTTGATTGGCGCCAGGATGGAATTATCTGGGGGTGCTTACTTTGGTAAACAAAAGCCAGCAATTCTGGCAGTTACAGATAAGAGAAAGTATGCAGCTTGTCCTCTCTTTGCATTTTGCAAGGTAATCTTAGTAGTTTACAGAAGCCATGGCTAGCAGTCATTGTGAGGAGAATGGAACAGTTTTCCCATTGTAAAATGGCATTGCACTGGTTCTAATTCTAGGCCAGCTATATCACACTTTTTTGGTTAAAGATTTTATGTAGGTGGACTCTTCAAATGTGTGATAAGGAGGAGGGCAGCCATAGAGTCATTCTAGATTGGTAGATAGCTGCTCAATGGTTGAAACTTTTCGTTTTGAGGAGAAGGCTTCTCAAATTATGAAAATTATTAGAACAACTGCTGTTAATGAAATTAATGAGCCCACAGATGAGACGATGTTTCAGGTAGTGGATGCATCAGGATAATCCGAGTATCGTCGGGGTATTCCGGATAAGCCAAGAAAATATTGTGGAAAGAAAGTTAAATTTATGCCTACAAATATAGTAATAAAGTGAATTTTAGCATAGGTCTGGTCAAGTGTATAACCCAAGAATAAGGGGAATCAGTGAATAAAGCCCCCTATGATAGCAAATACTGCTCCTATGGATAGGACGTAATGGAAATGAGCTGCTACATAGTATGTGTCGTGTAAGACAATGTCTAATGGTGAGTTGGCTGGTACGATTCCTGTTAATCCACCTACAGTGAAAAGGAAGATAAAACCCAGAGCTCAGAATATTGCGGGAGATGGTTTAATGTGGCCGCCAAAGTCAGAAGCTTATATTATTTATTCGAGGGAATGCCATATTGGGAGCACCAATTATTAGAGGAATAAGTCAGTTTCCAAAACCTCCAATTATAATTGGTATTACTATAAAGAAGATTATAATAAATGCATGAGAGGTGACAATAACTTTATAAACATGGTCATCTTCTATTAGGCTTCTCGGTTGACCTAGCTCTGCTCGAATTAGGAGGCTTAGGGCTGTTCCTACTGCCCCTGCTCATGCGCCAAATAGTAAGTATAGTGTTCCGCTATCTTTATGGTTAGTTGAAAATAGCGATTTATGAACATAGGTAGGAGGTAAAATGGCTGAGTAAGCATTAGACTGTAAATCTAAAGACAGAAGAGTAGCCTTCTTTTTACCAGCTCTGAGGTGATTTATCATATTGAACTGCAAATTCAAAGCAGCAGCTTCAACCCTGCCGGGGCTTCTCCGGCCTTTTTTCCCTGACTGGCGGGAGAAGTAGATTGAAGCCAGTTAATTAGGTTGTTTAGCTGTTAACTAAATTTTTGTGGGTTAAAGTCGCATCAATCTAGGAAGGGCTTAGCTTCATTAAAGTAATTGATTTGCATTCAGTTGATGCAAAATAAAGTTTTGCAGCCTTAGAGTGGTGCAGAAATTAAGTAAAGTTTACTTACTAAGGGCTTTGAAGGCTCTCGGTCTTATTAAACTAAATTTCTAGACTATTAGTATTAGCGGGGTTACAGGTAGGAGAAAGGCGGAAGAAATCATAAGTGGAGATAGAAGTGGTGGTGGCTTTATATATTTCAATGGCGAATTAATTTTTGTATTATTGGATGTGGGAAATATTGTTATTGAGATGGAGTATGTTAGGTGTATATAAAAATATAAGTTTATTAGTGTTAATATAGCTATGGTAAGAGGGAAAATGAGGTGGTCGTTTTTTGTAAGTTCTTGTATAATAGCTCATTTAGGAGAAAAGCCTGTTAGTGGGGGTAAACCTCCTAAAGATACTATTATTCGTGGAATTATGGGTATTATTCATGTGAGTTTATTCCAGGTGTGTGATAGTGATAGGGTTGTTACATTTGAGTTTAGATAAAAAATTAGGAATGTAGAGATTGTTAGGAAGATATAGATGAGTAGGCTTAGACTGGTAATATTTGGGTCATAGTATAGTACTGCTATCATTCATCCCATCTGAGTGATTGAGGAGTAAGCTAGGATTTTGCGCAGTTGTGTCTGGTTAAGTCCCCCTCAGCTACCAAATATAATGGATAAGATTGAGGTTTTTTTTTTTGAGACGGAGTTTCGCTCATGTTACCCAGGCTGGAGTGCAATGGCGCGATCTCAGCTCACCGCAACCTCCACCTCCTGGGTTCGGCCAATTCTCCTGTCTCAGCCTCCTGACTGAGTAGCTGGCATTACAGGCACTCGTCACCATGCCCAGCTAATTTTTTGTATTTTTAATAGAGACGGGGTTTCACCATGTTGACCAGGATGGTCTCGATCTCTTGACCTCGTGATCCACCCATCTTGGCCTCCCAGAGTGCTGGGATTATAGGCGTGAGCCACTGCGCCCGGCTGCTTGTATGTCTTCTTCAGAGAAGTGTCTGTTCATGTCCTTTGTCCTTTGTTTTTGAGGCAGAGTCTTGCTCTGTTGCCCAGGCTGGAGTGCAGTGGTGCCTTCTCTGCTCACTGCAACCTCTGCCCCTGGGTTCAAGCGATTCTCTTGCCTCAGCCTCTCAAGTAGCTGGGATTGCAGGCACCTGCCACCATGCTTAGCTAATTTTGTATTTTTAGTAGAGAATGGGTTTCACCATGTTGTGCAGGCTGGTCTTGAACTCCTGACCTCAAGAGATCTACGCCTCAGCCTCCCAAAGTGCTGGGATTACTGGTTTGAGCCACTGCTCCCCACCAATTTATGTTATTTAAATGCAAATTATTGGCAAACAAATTGGGAACTGCCTCTTCTTTTTCTTTAAAAACCTACTTCCAACTGTTGTTAATCACAGTGAATATTCAGGGTGAGTTGAATGTATACTCCCAAGGTTGCAGTCCTCAAACTTGACCCAAATGTACTTTTTTTTTTTTTGAGACTAAGTTTTGCTGTTGTTGTCCAGGCTGGAGTGCAGTGGTGCAATCTCAGCTCACTGCAACCTCCCCATCCTGGGTTCAAGAGATTCTCCTGCCTCAGCCTCCCCAATAGCTGGGATTACAGGCACGCTGCTACCACACCAGGCTAATTTTTGTATTTTGAGTATAGACAGTGTTTCCCCATGTTGGTCAGGCTCCAAGTCCTGACCTCAGGTGGTCCACCTGCCTCAGCCTCCCAAAGTGCTGGGATTACAGGCATGAGCCACCAGCATGAGCCACCGTGCCAGACCCCCAAATATACTCTTACTTATATTAATTTTGCCTCAGTTTTTTTTTTTTTTGAGATGAAGTTTTGCTCTTGTTACCCAGGCTGGAGTGCAATGACGCGATCTCGGCTCACCTCAACCTCCGCCTCCTGGGTTCAAGCAATTCTTCTGCCTCAGCCTCCTGAGTAGCTGGGATTACAGGCACGCACCACCATGCCCAGCTAATTTTTTGTATTTTTAGTAGAGATGGGGTTTCACTATGTTGTTTAGGCTGGTCTGAAAGTCGTGACCTCGGGTGATCCACCCATCTCAGCCTCCCAAAGTGCTAGGATTACAGACACGAGCCAGGCAGTTTTTTAAGTTCTAAAATTATACTATTTGCCCCTAGCACCAAGATTGTAGTCTCAAAATACCATTGCCCAATGAAAGGAAACAAGGCTTCCTGGACAAAATGCTGATTCCAGGTCTAGGCCAGAAATGTGTACGGAACCTGGAACATATTGTCACTCTGGATAGCAAAGAATCTATAAAGATTATTAGGATGATTTCAACATGTCCGAAGGGCCAATCTGAAGGGACTCCTTCTAACCAAAGATGGGACATTTTGTACATTAGTAAGGATAATAGTTGCAGTGAACTGAGATATATCAAATATGTTTGAATATCTGCATTCATAATGATCCTTTTGAAAAAATAAAAGTGGGCTGGCACAGCTCCTCATGCCTGTAATTTCAACACTCTGGGAGGCTGAGTTAGGAGGATCACTTCATCCAGGAGTTCAAGACCAGCCTGTGCAACACAGGGGGACTTTGTCTCAACAAAAGATTTTTTAAATTACTCAGGTTTGAGGGCCCGTGTCTTTGGTCCCAGCTACTCAGGAAGCTGAGATGGGAGGGTCACCTGAGCCTAGAAGTTTGAGGCTGTAGTGGCATGACTGCTTCTCTGCATACCAGCCTGGGCAACAGAGCTAGACCCTCCCTGTCTAAATAAATTAATTAATAGAAGTGGTCACCATTGAAGGATATACATGAAACAGCCCATGATTTTGAAAAATGGTAAACAAGAAATCAAGCCATGAACTGATGTTTTCTATATAAGTTGTACAAGTGAGTAACAGTTCATAAGAAGCAGCATCTCTTTTTTATATTTACTTCATTTTTTTCTTAATGCAAGGCTCTTCTTGGGGTAGCAGTGTCTCTTTCTTCATGCACGGCCCTTCTTAGGGTAGCAGTATCTCTTCGAAGTGTGGCAGCTCATAAATGAAGAAGGAATGATACAACAATGCCTTCATTGTTCAATCCGTAACTGATCAATGGCCATTAACACCACCAATTAAAAAAAAAAAAGATCTCCAGAGAGTACACACCTCCTCCCAGAAGAAACTAGCACAGCCTTTTTGCCCTGAATCAAGTCCAGCCTGAATCTCACCAAGTCTTGAGATCAAACTACTAATTTATCAAAACTAGAACAAAGTGAAGAGCAAGTTAACCAACATCATAAGATACAATTAGCAAAATTCACAGTATGAGAAACAGCATAATGAGAATACACTTAGCATAATTCAAAGTGTGGGGAAATGGCCTGATTTATTCAATAAATGGACTGCAAGGGACAGCACAGAGATGAAAGTGGGATGCTGTCAGGATCAACAAAACCCTAAGAGGCAAATCACACAATCCCAAAGAGAGACTTTATTTGGATCCTGATTCAAACAATAAATACATGAAACGACTAGAAATTTGGAGCTAGAAGGAGAGTTGACAGTGATAAAGAGCAATGGTGTGAGATGGTTGGTTGATGATGGTATTGGGATTATATTTTTTAATGAGTTCTTGTCTCCGGGCATGGCGGTTCACACCTATAATCTCAGCAGTGTGGGAGGTCAAGGCAGGAAGATCCTTTGAATCCAGGAATTGTAGACCAGCCCGGGCAACATAGCAAGACCCTGTCTCTACTAAAATACAAATAAAAAGATGAGCTGGGCATGGTGTGAGTCTGTAGTTGCAGCTACTCAGGAAGTTGAGGCAGGAGAGGCCACAGTGAACCAAGATCATGCCACTGAACTCCAGCCTGGGTGACAGAGACCTCGTGTTGAAAGAACAAACAAGAATCGTATCTTTTACAGACATCCACCAAGACGGTCAGGGAGGAAATTCTATGATGTGTGGGATTTGCTATAAAATCACGAGAGGAAGAGGAGAAGCATGTAGGAGTATACATGTAATGCGATTGGCCGTCAGATAACAAATACCTGAATCTGCTGCTGAGTAGGTGGAAGCTCACTATACTAGCCTCTTGTTCCAAAAAGCTCTAGAATAGGAAGTTTGTGTAAAAATCCACTTCAGGGATTTGTAACATGCATTGAATAAGATCGTTTATACAGAGTGTTTTCTCACCGCGGCTTGCAGGTAGTCAGCACACAAACATGGTTTTTAGTTTTGTATAGTCCCCGTCCATGAATCACACCCAAAAAAGGTATGTTGTTCACACCATGAGCTCTGACCCATGGACCTTTGTCCACTTGGTGGTAATTCATTGGAGTCTGAGGTTTAGAATGACGAAATACCAGCCTTCAAAGTCCCAGGCCTGCTATGAAATAGCAAAGCCAATGGTCCCAGATGCCTTCGTAGCACACCTAGTAAGTAGGACCACTTTTCTCTCACCTTGTAGGCACACTTGAGTCCATGCACTCATTTTTCATTCATTTCTTATATGCCGTGTATTGGGTACTAGGGATCCATAATACAGTGGACCCACAATTGACTGGAAGCATCACTTTTAAAGCATCATTTCAGGATGAGTATTTTGCATCAAGTGGATTCAAGGAACAGTGCGAAGGATCCATGGCCTCAATCACCATGAAGAGCCTCCCAAGAGCCAACTGTCCTGGGCACATGTAAGTGAGTGGAGACATGGAACTCACCCTTACAAGGCCTAGAACCTGACAGAGCATACAAGACAGAAGCCCAGATAACTAAGAAGGGGAAGCTGTAGGTGAGAGGTGGGCCCCAAAGGATTCTGTGAAAATGCTTTGTGTTTGTGGATTTATCACGCAGAACGAAACCTTTGTTTTTAGTCACAGGTTAGACACACTCTCTATATAGAATCTATGAAGGGACATTGCTGAATTTTTTGAGGCCTTTAGTGAAAAATGGATTATCTCAGGCAGCTCAGGATGAATAATACAGTCACCAAGAGGGGCAGGGTGGCCACAGGTGGCCAGCAGCAGGAATGGGCATTGTGAGCCATTGGATGGGGTTGTGAGAAGTGGCAATGTGAGTCACTGGCCTGACTTTGTTGTTTCCTGGCAATCAGGTGACATAGGAGGCTTTGTGGGGACAGGCATCAGCCAGGACCAGCAGCCTTCAGTCGGAAGCTGGTAGTGGGAGGAGGAGGAGCTCCGACTACTCTCACGGAAGTGTTTGTGCCCTTGGCACTTGCTCTGTTGCTTTGTTTTTTCCTTTGTTTTATTTTGTCTGTTGCTTTGTTTTGTTTTTTCTTTTCTTTTTTTTTTGCGTGTTGCTTTGTTTTGTTTTGTTTTTTGTTTGTTTGTTTTTAAATTTTATTTTATTTTGTGTTGCTTTGTTTTTAAAGTCCCCTTGTGGATCATCCATGGGGAATTGTCCACGCCCCAGCGCTGGCCCCAGTTGCGAGCCTTGTGGCCAGTCTGTTGCATCCACCACTGCAGAGCCTGCCGTGTTACATCTCGGAGTGGTGGAGGTCCAGGACGCGCAGCCCATAAAATCTAAGAGGCGCAAAGGTAAAGAAACCATGGGTGTCATTTGCTCTCTGGCACATTTCTGGCCACCACCTCCCCACCTCCTTCCCATCCCGTCACCCCAGAGACATCCTCAGCTTCCACCTCCCTCCTGCCTATAGCCAGCTTTCCCGGGGCTGGGCATGGGGGACAAAGGCTAGTCCTGCCTCTTGTCTTCATTGTTGAGCCTTCTTGCTTGACGCCTTTTTGGTCTAGTCTCTCCCTTTCCCCGATGAAAATTCAGATACTCCAGTTTTGGAGTCTCCATCCCATTCTCTAGCCTTAGCTGTCCAGCTACTATGGCACCTCAGTGAAGGAGCCGGTTAAAGGCCCAATGATTTCTTTTCTCCTATTCGATAGAGAAGCTAATAATTGAGATAATTCAGACTCAAATATTTGGAGACTTCTTAAATTTAAAATAGAGTTTGCCATGGAAGAGATTATATGGTGTTCTTAATAGATGGTTTGAAGTCACCTTGACAGAAGCAGCTTTATTTCTTCTAATTGTAATTTGAAAACCGAAGGAAAGATTGAGGGACATGCTTAAAATGACTGCAAAAGGTAAGAAATGTTACCGCCAGAGCTGTAAAAAAGTTGTTTTGGTTTTGGTTTTACCCAAAAGTTTAGCCGAGGAGCTCTGATTACTTTAAAATTCCCACGTTGACATGAATGTCTCTTCAGCCCTACTCCAGTAACTTCACGGGCTTTGTTTACCTCCTTGTTCTGAAAGACAGGTAGAGCTAGCTCATGGTTACAGGTTCCAAAAGAGATGAAATGACTTTAGACTTGAATTTGTAAGGTAAAGACTTGGAGTTAGAAGGCCAGACCCTGCCTGTGGAAAAGAGTTTGTTTTCACGGCTCCCCTTCCTACAGGATGGGAAAGGGGAGGAGAGAGGAAACATTTTATGTTTTTGCTATGGTCAAATTGAAGACAAAAACTAACACTTGTAAGACAGGAGAGGAGCATTTAGGTACAAAATCAGTCAAACATTTGTGTATCACTACGTTCGTTGAGCAAATGGAAGCTACCAGACTCAGAAAACCAGAGATGCTAATGGAACTGACATTAGTAACCAGGGTTTTCTACTGAGTTCAGTGCCCAGGGTGACTTTTAATAACAACCACCCTCCCCTCCACACACACTTTTCTCAGGACTGGAAAGCTCAGGCAGCCCAGGATGAATAATGCAGCCACATGGGGGGAATGGTGACCACAGGTGGGCAGAAGCAGGGATGGGCATTGTGAGCCACTGGGTGGGGCTGTGGGGTGGGGCATTGTGAGCACCTGGGTGGGGCTGTGGGGTGGGGCATTGTGAGCCACTGTGTAGAGCAGTTACTTACTCTAAAGCCTGCCTATAGGTAAAAAGATTTTAATGTAAAAAGACCTTCAATTGTCCCACACCTTCCTTCTGAACCATCTTTTCCCTATGGTATACATGCCCTCAGTCTGAGGGCTGTGAGGGGTAATGGCACAGGGATCCACCATCTTGTCTTGCCACCACTCAAGACACAGACATGGCTTCTGTTTCTTAGTTTTTATTAAATGTTTCTTTCTAGGAAAAAAAAAATAAGCTGGTATTTCTACATAAAGGAGAAGTATGGAGCTGTAAAAAAGAGTAAGATGTCTTTTTATTGCTATGGAGTGATTCCCAAGATAGGGTATGCAGAAAAGCCAAAAGGAAAACATACAGTAATATACATGAAAGAAAGCAGGGGAAATAATGTGTATTTCATTATTTAAAAATAAAAGCCAATGTTGGGGAAGTCTTGATGGTGACCTGTGACAGTTTCCTTCTAACTTCACTGGGCAGCCAAAGTGCATATTTTCTCAAAATTTCATTTTGCTATGGGTTCTGCAAAGGACGCTAACTGTGCACTTTTCGGCTTTGAGTTAGAGAAAGCTTCGCTTTGTGATTCATTGTGCATTATGTGGTATACAGACTGCTCTTTCATTTTATTCTATCCTCTCAATGTTTGGAGTCAGGTGTAAAATGGGAATTATACTGTGTTATATATGAGGAGGCTGGTTCTAAGAAGAAGACTCAGTACATCAAGAGTGTAAATTCTAGATTTATGGCATATAAAACTAGAATGTACAAAAAGGCGTGCATATGACCTGCTTTAAATAGTACCCTTTATAAAAAAAAAAAAACAAAACTTTTTTTTTCTTAGCTTACTAAAGCAATTAAGCCTCAGAATGAAAACAGCAATATTAGATAATGAGAAATAAAATGCGGATACTTGTGACACACTAATGCTTTTTATTGTGAAAAGACAGGGTCTTGCTTTGTCACCCAGGCAGTGGCGTGATCATAGCTCACTGCAGCCTCAATCTTCTAGGCTCAAACGATCTTCCCACAACAGCCTTCTATGTAGCTAGGGATACAAGGGCTCACCGCCACATCTGGCAATTTGTAGATTTTTTGTAGAGACGAGGTCTCACTGTGTTGCCCAGGTTGGTCTCAAACGTCTGACCTCAAGCAGTTCTTCTGCCTTAACCTCCAAAACTGTCAGGATTACAGCCATGGGCCAGCACACCTAGCCCAGAAATGTTCCTAAAAGTCTGAAACAGTAAGTTAACTGCTATTAAGAAATATATAAAAAGATAAACATATACTATGGCATATGAAATGTCACCGTTCAGTCATGGTCACAACAGTGATTAAAATATCCAACAGTTGAGGCAAGTCTGAGAACTGAGAGGGACGTACAGGATTGGTTTGGAAGCCAGAATTAGGATTGTCAGAGCTGGGAAAGCAGAAGCAAGGCAAGAGTGTGCCCAGGAGTGGGGTATGCAGCAGCTCCGTGGCATGCTATGTGTCCTCTTTTACGGCAGGCCAGCTCCAGCCCAGCAGATGGGAATCACCTGATGGGTGGAAAGAGTGGATTCAGGTAAAATCTCAGACCGTGCATCATAACTGAGAGACTTAAAATGTTTGCCTTATGGGTCATAAAACTACTAAAAGTGACAACATAGGGATAATAGAGTAGGTCAGTAAATGCGGTAAGCCACCTGCCACCTCTCCATAGCCTCAACCATCCCACAGAAACACTGGGGCAGCAGGATTTCACAGAGCTTGTGAGAAGAGCTCTCGGTCCAGGGTCCATGGCATGATCCAGAGGACTCAGGTGTTCCGGGATCTCTCTCCCCGGGGAACCACCCACATGATTACCTCAGACCTATCACTCCTCACTGTGGTGACTGGGCAAGTCACTCAAAATGTCTGAATTTGAATTCACTGAATTTGAAAATAGGGGTTGTAGCCCCTTCTCTGCCTGTCCCTTGGGGCTGACTTGGGGATCAGGGAAATCACAGATCTCTGTCATGAGCTGGAAATCATGTGGCCATGGAAACTGTGAAGTCACTTTCCATCCTAACCCTGCGCAGACATGCAAGCTCCCTCTCTGTATTCAACCACTACCAAGTGTCTGGATTATTCTTCCCGACATTGATTGAAGATTTTAGGGCATTTGCAAAAACATGAGTCTTTTTAAGTCTTTATCTGCATTTCATCCTTTTAGACACTATAGAGCTTAGTAGGTCTATAGCCTAGATCTAATAATGTTTCCACATCTGAGAATAGGGAAGAGAGGCACAGATGGGTTCATATCCCTCTCTCAGGTATGTGCAGTAGGATTTGAACCCAGCCTATTTTTTGGTAACTTGGAACTTCTGCTTCTCTGTATTGTCTCATCTGAATAAAGGTATCTGCCTGCACAAACAAATCTTCCTAGAACCCAGATCTAATTCAGGTAGCATTGAAAAGCAGTCGGTGCAAACTAGGATCAAAAGTTTAAACTGAGAACGTTTTTACTAATTTCTCTGTGGTCTTCTGCCAGCAAGATGTCAAGCACTGTCTTTATTATGATACATTTCTGCCTTGCAGGTTTGGCTGGCCGCGCCAGGAGCTGGGCAGCAAAAAGGAGGCGTAAGAAAATTTGCCGCAGTGAAAATGAAGGTAGTGTGGAAATTATATCATGAAGTTGATTGAAGCAAATAATTTCAGTTTACTCATCCAGTGTCCCATATGAGAGAAACTCAGTAAATGCTGTGTCAGGTTCTTCATTTATTTCATTTGTTCCCATTTAAATGCATTTAATCAACGGGTGATGCAACTACACAAGTAAAGTTACGTTGACAACTTAGAGTTTGGTTCTTTTTGTTACTTTATTTTTGTGAGAAAGTCTCATTTTGTCACCCAGGAGTGCATTGGTGCAATCACAGCTCATTGCAATCTTGACCTCTCCATGTTCAGCTGATCCTTCTACCTCAGCCTCCCAAGCAGTTGGCTGTAATGCACATGCTTTATACCAAGCTATTTTTTTTTAATGTTACTTTTTTTGTGGAGACAGGATTTCACCATGTTGCCCAGGCTTGGTTCACTTTTGATAGTAAAGGACATCTCAAATATTTAGGTTTGCTTTTAGTTTGGGCAATTATGAATACAGCAGGTATAAGCCTTCTTGTGTCTTGTTTGGAAACATAATTTTTACAATGTAACTAAGGCAATGCTAAAATTATGGTTACTTGCTTGTATGGTAAGACTACCTTTCTTTGTGAGAATTTTGGTAGAATTTACCGGTGAATTCATCTGAAGGTAGTGTTTTGTTTTGTTTTTTGAGAAGATACTAATTATTGATTCAATTTCTAAAATAAATATAGGCCTATTCAGATGATTCATTTATCCTGAGAAGACTTTTAACCTTCTGAAACAGATCCAAAAAATTAGCTCATTTCATATAATGTATCCAAGTGTGAGCACAGATGTGTTCACAATATTCCTTTCTCATTATTTTTTGATTCCACTCGTCTTCAACTGATATTATTAGTACATCGTGACTTCCTTCTTTTCCTTTCTGGTTAGACAAGGTAGAGGTTTATCAATGTTATTGATCTTTTCAAAGAACTGGTTTTTGGTTTTGTTGATTTTCTCTGATTTCCTGTTTTTTAATTCCTTTAATTTCTGCAATCATTATGTATTTTTCCTCTATTTGACATTACACTGCTGTTTTTCTTTCATTGCCGAAGGTGGAAGCTAGATTATGAATTTAGATTTTTCTCATTATTGACACAGCATCATGAATGTTACTCACTGAATATATCATTAAAATGCACAGTTAATAACTAAAATAATAAATATGTATGCTTTACTACAATTTTAAAAATACAACAGGATAGATGATAATTGTAGTATTAGGATATGTAGATCCACAGAAGTTAAGAATAATCCTGTAACGTTTCATAAAATGTTGGGATTCACCTAGACCTTCACGTGGGCAGCAGGTCTGATGAGATGCTCTCGCTGAGCCAGGCAGTGCCTTTCTGTATTAACCGGTTCTCAGACTATTTCACAGTGATGAGGTTGCTGTAGCTAGAAAGCCCAAGGCTCTTTGGTTTCTTTCTGCCCCTCTCCTTTGCCTTCCTTCAACACCAAGGAGAGTGGTCCAGCAGCAGCTCAGTCCATGCTTGTCAGCAGCCCAGCTCCATACACTGCAGCTTCAGTCCACGTCCCCCAAGCCTCCTTGTGGGATTCCTCACAGCACCAGTGCACTGACTGTCTCTGTGTCCTCCTAGCTCCCATTCAAGACCTGGAGGAGGGTAGGACTGCAAGGATTGCGGAGGAGATGTCACCTGAGATAGTAAGATGCATTTCTTTGTCTTGAAGAGAAATGTCTTTTTCTGGGGCTTCCAGCATGTCAAGTGAGTATCATTTTTGACTGCCATTGTGAATCAGGCCTCAGCTGTCATGGACTCCAGCTACCAGTCACTGGAGCTTATGACCAACTGAGACCTGATTGATGATGTCGGTCCAAAGGTGACATCACTGACAAGCTAGTAGTGAGCCTATTTCTCAGTAGCAACATTTTCTTCCTGAAAAATAATTTCGTATTTGGCAGCCAACATGGACTTGCTCAATATCCCATGAAAAACCAGGTTCCCGGAAGGTGGACTCCTCCTGGAAGGCCCCTCTGCCTATTAGCTCTACAGCCCATCAGATTGCCCATGCTCCTTTTCATCCTGGGGGGGGGGGGCGGTCTCTGCGTTCTCCCAACTCCCGCCAGGTCCTTACGTGGTCATCCCGTGAATCAGCAGGACCAGCTCCTCCCTCTTCTCCAGGGTGTGGGGTCCCTCGGGTTCAGAAACTACTCTCCTGAGCACCCGCATTTATCTCATCCCGGGATTAGGAGCTGCTGCAGGAGGAGAACCGGCAGAAGCTGGGCCTGAGCACCAACCTCAAGCAGGTGGAGGATGAGGAGAATTCCTTCTGGGAACAGCTGGAGAAGGAGAAGGAGGCCACGCACAACCTTGAGAAGCAGACTGCCACCCTCCACGCCCAGGTTTGGAGGCCCAGGGAACTGGCCAGATGCTGCAGGCTGGAGAGCTGCTGGCCTGGGCACTGCAGGACAGCCTGCCGCTGAGCCAGCCTATTGCCCTCTTTCCAGGGAAGCCCTCCCTCCCCCCTGCTGTCCCACATCAGTGCTCTTAGCCTGAGTCCATAAGAGAGGAATCCAGGGGTCTGTGGACTTAGATGGGGGACACCACTATTTTCACTGCTATTTTACACCTTATGTTCACCAGTCTAGCTACAATGTAGCACTGCTTCCATTATGAACGTAGCCACAAGCCATGGTGCTGGCAGTCCCTGTGTCCTTGTCACCTGGAGAAATGGCCAGTTACCCTGTTAGAGTCATGGCTGAGCTCCTTGGCCTCGTGATTGCCAGGCCTGGGCTGAGTTTGCTATCTGATGTGCTACCTGGGGTCACGTGGCTTCCTGAGTGATGGCAACTGCATTTCTCTATACTGGTTGCCTGGGTGATTCCTTATGTTTATTTCATGCCTGTTAAAACATTGTCACGAGAAGGAGTCCCTAGTCCTCTCTATAGAATGTCAAGGGGTCCGTAGACTAATGTCAGGGCCCCTGTCGTAGATCCTATTTTAGGCCTCCACGTGACGGGCCAGAAGGCCTGAACCACCTCCGGATGGGCTGGGAGTTCATTCCAAAGTCAGGGTAGGAGTCGCCTTTGAGCACATGTGGTTGCAGGTTTATCTGCAGATGCAAGGGCTGAGTGATGGGGACCCCATGTACACCCCCACAGGGCACTGGCCTTGCTCTCTGGGGGTGGTCCCCCAGAGAGGGAGAGGCTTGGTGTGGATGAGGGCTTGGAATCCCCTCAGCGGGCCTAGGAGTCAGCCTCCCCGCAGCTTCACACACTAGATGGATGCCTTTCTGCAGAAACTCCATTTGTCTTGCCCCCATGGAGATGGAAGTGACTGGGGGAGGCAGTTTCATAACTGGGCAGATTTCTGGTGCCCCTTTCACAGTGTGGCAGGCAGGCTCTTAGCTGCCCCAGGGAGAGGTGTGTCACCTGAGCAGGTGCCATCTCGGGCATCTGCTTATTCCTTGCTCCTGCCCAGGTGGCCAACATGACGAAGATTGAGGACACTGTGGGGTGCCTGGAAACCGCAGAGGAGGTGAAGAGGCAGCTCTGGAAGGACCTGGAGGGCCTGAGCCAGCGGCACAAGGACAAGCTGGAGAATACCAAGACACGGCTGCAGCACGAGCTGGACGACCTGCTTGTGGACCTGGACAACCAGCGCCAGACGGTGTGCCACCTGGAGAAAAAGCAGAAGAAGTTTGACCAGGTGTGTAGCCATCCACCCCATCCTTTGCATTTTTTCTCCTTCTGGCACTCAACCCAAGGCGAGGGCCTCATCAGAGAAACCCTGGGCTCCCTCGAGACCTTGCCCAGGAGGGGTCATGTGGGGCCAGCACTTAGAGGACCCCGCATGACCCCTGGCTTGTTGAGAGGTCTCTGGCTTGTTGAGGGGCTTGGGGAGAAGGCCAGCGGAAGAGGGTGTCTTCATGCAGTGGGTTGAGGAGGAACTTTTCCTTTCTGGGTTTTCACGTTTTTTTCAGATTTTCTATAATGAACTGGTTTTCCTGTCATTTAAACCACTTATTAGTGCATTCATATTGCTTCTTTATTCCAAAAGATCTGCGGGAAGCTGAGGGAGATGTGAACACCGGGGTGGGATAGACATCGAGCATGGAACTGCGGCGGCCAGGTCCAGCCCGCTGCGTTTTGGGGAGAAAGCTGGACCGAACACACACACACTGTCGTTCTTGTGTCGTCTCTGCTTGTTGCGCTGTGGTAGTGGGGTTGAGTTTCTGCAGAGACTGTGGGGCCTGTATACTCTAAAGAATGCACTCTTGACTGGGCATGGGCTTATATGCCTATAAGCCCAGAACTTTAGGAAGCCGAGGCGGGCGGATCACCAGGTCAAGAGTTCGAGAGCTGCCTGGCCAACATGGTCAAACCCCATCTCTACTAAGAATACAAAAATTAGCTTGGGCCCAGCTGCTCTGCCCTGCTGGGGGCTGTAGCTCGGAGCCTGTGGGGCTGAGCCTCATGGTGCCCCTCTCTTTCCCAGCTCCTGGCAGAGGAGAAGACCATCTCTGCCAAGTATGCAGAGGAGCGTGACCGGGCTGAGGCTGAGGCCCGAGAGAAGGAGACCAAGGCGCTGTCGCTGTCCCGGGCCCTGAAGGAAGCCATGGAGCAGAAAGTGGAGCTGGAGCGGCTCAACAAGCAGTTCTGCGTGGAGATGGAGGACATCATGAGCTCCAAGGGCAAGAGCGTGAGTGCCGGGCCTGGCAGCCAGGCCTTGGGAGGGGCCCGAGCGGGGTCATCACAGAGGGTCAACGCATACACACGTTCCGGGTCTAGCAGACCCAGGTCCCTGCCAGTCTCTTTGCTCCTGACTTGGGATCTCTGGGGCTCAGGTGCATGAGCTGAAGTCCAGGCGGCTTCTGGAGCAGCAGGTGGAGGAGTTGAAGACCCAGCTGGAGGAGCTAGAGGATGAGCTGCAGGACACTGAAAACACCAATCTGCAGCTGGAGGTCGACCTGCAGGCCAAGAAGATCCAGTTCGAGCAGGACCTGCAGGGCTGGGACGAGCAGAGTGAGGAGAAGCAGCAGCAGCTGGTCAGACCGGTGTGCGTGGGCTCCTGCTACCCCATGGTGGCCAGGGTTGTCCTGGCTTCACCCAGGCTTCCATTTCCTCCTTCCACCTGGATTGTGTTAGGGCCCTGGACCACGCCTCCCCTCCCCTGTCCCTCCTGTCCAGTCCCCTGTCCCTCGGGTCAGTGACTCACCTTCTTAGAGTTCTTAGAGTCAGTAATGCCCACTGGCTTCCGGAGGCCCCACAGATCCTGCAGAGGCACCTGGGTTCAGAGCCAGCTTCCCAAGCTGTCGGTGTTCCTTCCTCCAGGTGCGGGAGATGGAGGCAGAGCTGGAGGACGAGAGGAGGAGGCACTCCATGGCAGTGGCCGCCCGGAAGAAGCTGGAGATTGACCTGGAGGCGCACATTGACTCGGCCGACAAGAACTGGGATGAAGCCATTGAGCAGCTGTGGAAGTGGCGGGTAAGGGTGGGCGGTGCCCAGCTGAGCCAGCTACATGCTAGGGCGCTGGGGCGGGAACCTGGCAGGGTGGCACCTCTTGGGAAGGTCCTGGGTGCTTCCAGCCCCATCTCACTAATGAAGACACAGGCTCAGAGGTGAGTGGAAACAATAGTCCAACAGCAAACTTGCAGAACGGTGCATGGCTGAGTACATGAAACACAGAAGCAAACAGGCAAGTGCAGGCCCAGGCATGGGGGAGTTCAGAAGGCTTCACCCAGTGCAGACTCCAGCATCAGCTGCGTCCTGATGCTCCAGCCTTCTGGGCTCCGGCGTGATGGTTCCGAGAAGCAGCCTAGAGTGTGGGATACATACTTGGAAATTTTCACCTCACCAATAATTGAAGAATAATGAACACATAAAAACAGCTCTGATATGTCATATCATGTAGCAAGAATAACCGTAGGTTTAAAATACATTTGAGTCAGAGTCTTGCTCTTTTGCCCAGGCTGGAGTGCAGTGGCGCAATCTTGTGTCACCACAACCTCTGCCTCTTGGGTTCAGGCGATTCTCCTGCCTCAGCCTCCCGAGTAGCTGGGATTATAGGTGCGTGTCCCCATGCCTGGCTAATTTTCGTATTTTTAGTAGAGATGGCGGTTCACTGTGTTGGCCAGGGTGGTCTCAAACTCCTGACCTCGTGATCTGACAGCCTCGGCCTCCCAAAGTGCTGGGATTACAAGCATGCACCACCATGCCTGGCCTTCATGGGGCCTTTTTTTAAGCATCAGTAGTCAGTATTGGATGTGAATTTCCTGCTGTGTGGTAGTAGGTGCCTGTCTGTGTGAACCCACTGTGGTTCACCTGTGTACCTGCTGTGGTTCACCTGTGTACTTGCTGTGGTTCACCTGTGTACCTGCTGTGGTGTCACCTGTTTTATGAGTTGGAACAGAAGGTGGCATTTTACACTTTTTTGCCTTTTCTGTTGTAACTGTTCCTGTTTGCCTGAACTCTTTGTGTGCTGCTGTTGTGTACAAAGATGTCTGACCACTAAATATTTTGCGGGAAGTTTTTTTTGAGAGGGGTCCTGTTCAGCTGAGCTGTGGCTCCCAAGGCTCCGCCTTGCTTCTTTCTGGTGGGAGCAGCCAGGCGCCTGATTTCCCTCTCGAATTTGCTTTGGGATTTGTGTGCTGTGCTGTGGCCTCCTTGGCCAGGCCCCACTGACTCTGCCTCTGCCTCTGCCCCCAGGCATGGGGACCTGCCGTTTGCCCCGACAAATGCTCAGACGAGGAGGTGGATGACAAAGCGGATAGAGCTGAGGCCAAACCTCTGAATAAGCCTCCTCTCCTGCAGCCTGAGACAGATGGACAGGTGGACACTGCAGCCTCCCCTTCCCAGACCCTGCCGCACACCTCCCCCAACCTTGGGACTGTTGTGAACGTGCCTCCCACCCCCATCCCATCTCCCTCCAGGCCCGAGGGTAGTTTACCTGCACAGTCGATTGAGCATGGTTAAAAATCTGCCACCTGCACAGATATTTTTGAAAGTAGAAAAAAAGGTTTTCTTTTTTTTTTCTTTTAATAAATAAAATTCTGAGGCTTTCTCACTGCCTTTCTTTAGAAGAGAGTAGCTTGTCCTCACTGGTCTACACTGGTTGCTGAATTTACCTGTATTCCTAACCGTTTTCTATATGCTGCATTGAGCCTTAGGGCAAGAAGGCATTTTTTTAAAAGGAAACAAACCTCTCAAATCATGAAGCTATACGAAAGCTGCATATGCCTACAAAGCTCTGAATTCAGGTCCCAGTTGCTGTCACAAAGGAGCGGGTGGAACTCCCGCCCTCCCCCCTGTTTTATATAATAAAAATCCCTGAGCATGTGTTGCAGCCGTCATCACTGCAGTAAGCTGGTCTACAGATGTTTTCCACCGAGCGCCACAGTAAACAGTGCCGTGTGCTACCAGCTGTGTCTGTAGCATTTGTCTGCGGCAGGGGGGCCCTGGATGGGACTGAGCCTGGCTCCTGTGGCCAGTGCTGGCTCTGCATTGTGGGGGAGCCAGACTGGCTGTTGCGTAGGCTGGGCTAGCTGTGGGCAGTTGTGCAGAAAAGGAAAGGTGGAGAGGTGGGCTGGGCCAGATCTGAGGAGGCTAAGAGTATCTTAGAAACCTTGGTTTAAGGCTGGCGCGGTGGCTCACGCCTATAATCCCAGCACCTTGGGAGGCCTAGAAAGGTGGATCACCTGAGGTCAGGAGTTTGAGACCATCCTGGCCGACATGGTGAAACCCTGTCTCTATTAAAAATACAAAAATTAGCTGGGTGTGGTGTATGCCTGTAATCCCAGCTACTCAGGAGGCTGAGGCAGGAGAATCAGTCTAACCAGCGAGTTGGAGGTTGCAGTGAACCAAGATCATGCCACTGTACTCCAGCCTGGCAACAGAGCGAGACTCTGTCTAAAAAAAAAAAACTGGATGTGGTGGTGGCAGGTGCCTGCCATCCCAGGTACTGGGAGGCTGAGGCAGGAGAATTGCAGTGAGCCAAGATTGTGCCATTAAACTCCAGCCTGAGCAATGAGAGCAAAACTCCATCTGGGATAAAAAGAAACCCTGGTTCATTTCAGTTCTGAGCACCTACTAAGTGCAGCACGCTGAGCTTCATTAGGAATAGAGGCACAAAATGGGCCCAGGCCCTAACATGCGGGATCTTTCCTACTTAGTGAACAACACACCTGCTCTATGGAGGTGCAGCCCGGTGCTGCGGACGCCCAATGGGGATTGGAAGCTCTTCATAAAACTGACAAAGCTTTTGTTCATGCATCCTTTCAACGGAGCCTAAGCGTAAACCAGCCCCTTGCTAGGTGCGGGGAGTAGGAGGGCAATGAAGGCAGATGCCCCTGTGATTGGTTGCAGGGAAGAGGCTTTCCTTGGAGAAGGCTGTGGCATTCTCTGGAATGTGTGCATTTGGCTGGTGGGGTTGCTAGGGAAACCTCGTGCTGCTACACAGGACACCGTTCAGGCCTCTGACAGAAACCTGTGCAGCCTCTGAACAGGTGCCCTTTCAGCCCCTGGGCAGGGAGGAGGAAATGACGGGAGAGCTGCTGAGACCAGGCACTGGCGAGCTTTGTGTGCTTCTCTTTCCCTTCAATAACATTGGAGTTTCAGGCTACAGAGTCGGTCCACGCTTGTTATACACCAGACACTTCTAGGTCAGGTTCCAGCTCCACCACTTCCTGTGACACTGGGCAAGGGGCTTTGCCTCTGTGCTTATTTCTCACCATGGCTCATGTTTCAGGGGTCGGCTTCGGTGGCCTGAGGTTCGAATGCCCTTCTGCTTTCTCCTGGGCACAAGGGTAGTTCATCTGCACCATTGACACAGAATAGTTTAAATAATCTGATGGGGCGCAGTGGTTCAGGCCTGTAATCCCAGCACTTTGGGAAGCCGAGGCAGGTGGATAATCTGAGATCAAAAGTTTATGACCAGCCTGGTGGCCAACATGGTTAAACCCATTCTCTGCTAGAAATGTAAATTAGCCAGGCGTGGCAGATGCCTGTAATTCCAGCTACTCAGGAGGCTGAGGCAAGAGAATTGCTTGAGACCAGGACGGGGAGGTGGCAGTGAACATTGCACTCCAGCCTGGGCGACAAGTGAAACTTAAATAAATAAATAAATGAATGAATGAATGAATGAATGAATAACTGCCACCCACACAGATATTTTTGAAAGAAAAAAGTATTCTCTCCCTTTCTTGTAGTAAATGATAAAATTCCAAGGCTTTCTCACTGCCTTTCCTTTCGAACCATGTTTAGAAGAACCTAGTGTGACAAGCTCGAAGCAAATATTTGTTATCACCTAATTTGTCAGTGGGATTTAGGCGCTATCTGCTCATTGTCTCCACTGAGTGAGACACCCTGTTGGAGGGAGAATGGCCTTGGTGGGAGCACCTTTCAGTTAACTTCCATCTCCAGATAACTCAAGCAGACAGCACGAGATGCTATTTTTTGGCCAGGCGAGGTGGCTCACACCCGTCATTCCAGCACTTTGGGAGGCCAAGGCGAGGATCACCTTAGGTTGGGAGATTAAGACTACCCCGACCGACATGGCAAAACCCCATCTCTACTAAAAATACAAAATTAGCTGGGTGTGGTGGCGCATGCCTGTAATCCTAGCTGCTCAGGAGGCTGAGGCAGGAGAATCGCTTGACCCCAAGAGGCAGAGATTGTAGTGAACTGAGGTCATGCCATTGCACTCCAGCTTGGGCAACAAGAATAAAACTTTGTCTCAAAAAATATATATATATATTTTTCTTCTAATATGCTATTTCCATTATGACACATCAGTTCCCTTGTAAGTATCAGGTCATGTCCACTATCCCTTCGTACATATATGTATTTGCTTTTAGACCATTTCTTTGGTTTTAATACATAAATAAAGCTGATTCTATTGAAATGCAAAAATAAAATAAAAAGGCTGGGTGTGGTGGCCCATGCTTGTAATCCCAGCACTTTGGGAGGCTGAGGTGGGTGGATCACAAGGTCACGAGTTCGAGACCAGCCTGACCAAAGTGGTGAAACCCTGTTTCTACTGAAAATACAAAAAAATTAGCCAGGCGTGGTGGCACACACCTGTAATCCCAGCTACCTGAGTGGCTGAGGCAGGATAATCACTTGAACCCAGGAGGCAGAGCTTGCAGTGAGCTGAGATTTGTGCTTCTGCATTCCAGCCTGGGGGATAGAATGAAATTCAGTCTCAAAAAATAAAAAAAAATAAATAGTAGACACTATCTGGGGTCAGCTTAAGGAGGGGACCAAATTTTGGCAAAACAGCTGCATGCACATTCCTGCTC